AGATAAATTCATTCTACCTGCTGACTTTATTATTTTGGACTATGAGGAAGACCGTGAGGTTCCAATTATATTGGGAAGGGCTTTCTTAGCCACTGGTGGGGCTGTAATAGATGTTAAGGAGGGTGAATTGGCCATGAATGGAATGGTGAGCAAGTAATATTTTGAAGGCTATGAAATACCCAAGAGACATAAATGACTGTTCTACGCTAGATATCATTGACTGTGTGGTCAAAGATAAATTTTTGCATGAGTTTGCATTAGACTCTTTACAAATTTCTGGTTTTAAGGGTCTAGAAATCAGTCAAACTGATTCAGAGGAAGTGGTTAAATGGTTAAATTCCAGATCTGATGTGGTTTGGAAAAATAAAAATTTTGAGTCCTTAGAATTTGCAAAGAGAGGGTTAAAAGCTCCCAAACCCTCAATTGAAGAACCCCCTGTGTTAGAACTCAAGCCTCTGCCTAATCACCTTAGGTATGCTTACTTTGGAGAAAAAGACACATTGCCTGTCATAGTGTCCAATCTGCTCACTGTGTTAGAGGAAGAACATTTGTTGGCTGTTTTAAAAAAATTTAAGAGGGCTATAGGTTGTTCTTTGGCAGACATAAAAGAAATTAACCCCTCATATTGCACGCATAAAATCCTTTTTACTGACCCAACCAGCAGCTCTAGAGAGCAGCAAAGGAGGCTTAACCCAATCATTAAGGAGGTAGTAAAAAAGGAAATTATTAAGTGGCTGGATGCTGGGATCATATATCCCGTTTCTGACAGTAAATGGGTCAGCTCAGTACAGTGTGTCCCAAAAAAAGGTGGGATCACTGTTGTGGAAAATGAAAAAAAAAAAAACTAATACCCACTAGGACTGTCACTGGTTGGAGGATCTGTATGGACTACAGAAAACTCAACAAAGCCACTAGGAAGGACCATTTCCCTTTTCCTTTTATTGACCAAATGTTAGATAGATTGGCTGGTAAGGAATATTACTGTTTTCTAGATGGCTATTCAGGGTACAATCAAATAGCCTTAGCCCCTGAGGACCAACCAAAGACCACCTTTACTTGTCCCTATGGCATCTTTGCCTTTAGGAGAATGCCCTTTGGGCTATGCAATGCACCAGCCACCTTTCAAAGGTGCATGATGGCTATTTTTACTGATATGATAGAACAGTTTGTGAAAGTCTTCATGGATGACTTCAGTGTTTTTGGGGACTCTTTTGAAGAGTGCTTAAAAAATTTAGAAACAGATCCTTGAAACACTGAGTGAGAATGTGAGGAAAAAAGTGAGCCATTATGCTATTCTCAATTACTTGTTGTGATGATTTTATTCCCTGCTGTTAAGAAGTGAAATCATGATCTTCCCTGATTGTTGTTCCATTAACCGTTGAGTACATTCTTGAATATAGATTTGCACACTGTTTGTTGAGTGATTTTTGATGAATTGAATGTTTACTCAAGCTGCCTGATTGGTTGATTCCATAGCTGTTGTTTTCATGTACAAAGTCTATGAAATTGTGTCATGAGGTAGTCATTGAAATTATCTTGAAAAATCTGTTGATTTAAAATGAGGTTACATGTGAGGATAAAAGTTGATACATAAATCATGCTTATAGTTTTTCTGATTGGAAGTGAATTTGTTCCTTGGGGACAAGTAACAATGTAAGTTTGGGGGTGTGATAAGTCCATGATTTGAGACTTTGAACATGTGTTTTGATGTTAAAATGGGAATGAAAAGGATATCTTTTGTAAATTAAAACCCCAAATATTGCATTGAAGTGAAGAATTCTGATTTTAATACTAATGGGCTGATTTTGTATGTTTCAGGCCCAAATTAGTGATATTTCTCCAAGCAAAAAGAATGAAGAAAAATTGGGCCACTACTTTGCTGATCAGAAGCCCGAGATGAGAAAGGAAGGAAACAAAGGTGGAAAAGACAAATCAGAATAGAAGAAAGAAGAGAAGAAAATAATTGGGCCAGATGAAATAAAACTAATCAGTGGCCCAAAAGAAAAAAAAAAGAAAAAAAAGAAAAGAAGGGAAACAAGAGGGGTAGGACTCAGAATCGTGAATAAAGTTCTGAAAGAAAAGGAAAAAAACCCTAAGCACAACAAACCCACCATCGAGTGAACCATATCCATCAGACACCCATCTCAAAACCGAACCACTCTTTGATTTGTATTCAAGATACAGAACCCACACAGAATCCTAGCCTACTCACGGTTCAGTTCTTGAATCAAACCAACCCACACAAACCCTAGACGATTTTGTTGCAACAAGGAAAAATCCAAACAAATTGATGAGCTTTTTTTATGTTATGATCACACATAGGCAGCTCTTAGTGGTGTGAGATTATTGGGAAATAACTCACACTAGACCCTACTGTGAGCACATGGAAAGTTGAGAGAAAATCTCTCTCAATGGGTATGGCTCCAGAGATGAAGTTACCCTCATGTAACTTGTGAAAATGGTATTTCAAGGTCCTAAAACAACAGTGACATAGGGATATGCCAACTGTTGTCAGTGGAAGAAAACTGTTGTTGGGAAACAACAATTACTTTAGTATTTTCGTTACGCTGGAAGCAATTTTTGTTTTCTTTTAAAGCATCCTAATGACAAATGAGGGAAGGGGAAATTGACACCCACCTTACTTCCAAACTCTGTTTTAAACCCAATTTTGTCACTTGTTATTTTTGTTCAAATCTGAAATTATTTTTCTGTTTTAAAACTTAAAAGAAAATCATTAAAAAATTATTTTACAAGTCTTTTAGTTAAGAGAAAATCTCCACTAAAATCACTGTTTTAAAAAGAGAAAATCTCCACAAAAACAATTTCAGCGTACTAGTTTAGAATAGTAGTAGCGTTTAATTTGATTTTATTTTATTTTTAGTTCTGTTTAGCAATTACCAATTTATTCCAAGTTAGAACGCAAAGATCCTTGTGGGAACGATAACTGAGACTCACAAAAAGCCCTATATTACTTGTTGTCGCGTATACTTGCGTGCATACTTGCATAACTATTAGGAAGGCAACAATAAAGGAGGAGAGAGAGTGGACAAAAAAATATAAAGGTGTGAGTCCCACCTCTTTGTGAGAGTAAAAGGATATAAGTTATATCATTTAAAAGAATAAACACTTTTTCCATTAATTTATCATACCCACTAAAAATGTGAGCTATTGGATACAAGTGGATCAATGGTTAAAATTGAGTGTAAGATTTCTAACTCTTACACCGGTGTAAGAATATCCTGCCCCCACAAGGGTCAGGATCATTTTACACCAGTGTAAATTACACTCTCAATCTTATCCGTTGATTCCATTTATATCTAACGGCTAATTTTTTTTAGAAGTGTGAGTCATTGGATACAAGTGGATCAATGGTCAAAATTGAGTGTAAGACTTCTAACTCTTACACCGGTGTAAGAATATCCTGCCTCCACAAGGGTCAGGATCATTTTACACCAGTGTAAATTACACTTTCAATCTTATCTGTTGATTACATTTATATCTAACGGGTAATTTTTTTTAGAAATGTGAGCCATTGGATACAAGTGGATCAATTGTTAAAATTGAGTGTTAGACTTCTAACTCTTACACCGATGTAAGAATATCCTGCCCCCACAAGGGTCAGGATCATTTTAGACCAGTGTAAATTACACTTTCAATCTTATCCGTTGATTCCATTTATATCTAACGGCTATTAGAAATGTGAGCCATTGGATACAAGTGGATCAATGGTCAAAATTAATTGTAAGATTTTTAACTCTTACACTGGTGTAAAAATATCCTGCCCCTAGCACAATATGTTTTTTTGTCACCCGACTGAATTCGATAACATTATATGCATCTTGAGTTGGATCCCATTTTTGGTATTATTTTTAGCCCGCTTACTTGCAATTTTGGGCTGTGCTTAGACTTGGTCCCCATTTGCAAGCCATTTTTAATGTGTTAAATAAAGATAAAATATGCGGGCAAGGCATGACGTTAATTATATGGGAAATATATTTTTTATGTTGCTATAAATATTTTTTTTATTTTTTTTGCAGCAACCAATTATAACTATATGTTTTCGGAAAGATATAGTTGTAATTGGAAAAAAAAATTTCTCTCTCCACGTCAACAGACAACTTCAAACAGCTTTAAGATTATAACTATAGGATAGGTTATTCTACCTATTATTTTTTTACCTATCATTCTCTAACACCGTGAGATCAATATCTCAACTAATCTTTATCTTTTCCTCTCCTCTTGAGATTTTGATCTAACGGTGTTAGAGAATTATAGACAAAAGTGACAGAAAAAAATAATAAGTAGAATAATTTATTCCTATAACTATATATTTTCGGAAATACATAATTATAATCGGTAAAAAAAGTATTGGGCAAGGCCCTCTTCTTTTCTTTTTTTCTGGTAATTCCCCCCCTATTCTTTAGAAGTAAGCAAAAGAAATCTAGACTTACATATATATTTTGTGGTGAAAACTAAATTCGAAATTCTAATGATATTTGGCTCAGTTCAGATCAAAATATCATGAAAATATTAAAAGGAAAATAAGAAAGTTATGTTAGAATATGGTAGGATGAACATAAAATAAAATGCTGGCCATTCAGTGCATATCTTCCCGTACTATCGTCCCTCTAATTTGTAAATCGAAGGGTACTAGTTGATGTAAGTAGCAGAAAAATTAAACCATACTTGGGTTAATTGGAAAGGGTAGATAGGATGATGTTGAAATCAAGTACATGTTGATTTTATCTCATTTTGTTAATTTTTCTTTTAATTTAAGGGTACGTAATAAATCTAACATTATTTATAAAAATCTTAATTATTTCGCTTATTTCTTAAATAATGAAATGAATTTTTTTTATTTCATTAAAAATATCTAATAATAATATGATAAAATTTGGTTGAGTGTCATAGACTGATAGATACCACAAACACTTATCCTAACACAATATCCGCCACCACATTGGCTTCCAAATATCGTCCACTCAATCTTAGAATCCTCTGTGCAACAAAAACAACAATCTTGATACTTCACTTCCTATTACAACTACGTGTATCATCACTTCATTTAACATTGCTTTCTTTCTCTCTCTTTGTCTCTCCCACTAGTTTTTACATATGGCTGCTGTAACTGCTGCAGTCAACTTTCCATCCTCCAAGTCTACCACTCTCCCAAGCAGAACCTCCATCGTTGCCCCAGATAGAGTAGTATTCAAGAAGGTAAGTTTAAGCAACTAAGAATTGAGATTACAATTTTAGCACTGTGTTGTGTTTGTTGGATTATGATGTGGGTTGTGGTTTCTATATCTCAGGTTCCTTTCCAATATAGAGATGTTTCTACAAGTGGAAGGGTAGTTTCCATCAGAGCTCAAGTCACCACAGAGGCACCAGCTAAGGTTGAAAAGGAATCCAAGAAACAAGAGGAAGGTGTGGTTGTGAACAAGTTCAAACCCAAGAACCCTTACATTGGTAGATGCTTGCTCAACACAAAGATCACTGGTGATGATGCTCCAGGAGAAACTTGGCACATGGTTTTCAGCACTGAAGGTGGGGTCTCTTGCATTATTATTATTATTATTACTTTTTTGTATTTCTATAGATCATAACATAGATTGCTGATAAAAATTTATTTTGAGCTAACAAATTATGATTGTTTTTTATTTTAGGAGAGGTTCCTTATAGAGAAGGACAATCAATTGGGGTAATTCCAGATGGGATTGACAAGAATGGAAAACCGCACAAACTGAGATTGTATTCCATTGCAAGCAGCGCTCTTGGTGACTTTGGAGACTCCAAGACTGTGAGTTTCATGCTATTTCTTTACATTATTGTTACTGGGGTTTAATTGTTTAAACATAAATAAATGTTTTTTTTATCAATTTTGTTGCTTTCATAATTGAGTCCTGTTTTGAACTTGCTTGTCTATTTTACTCCCAAACTAATTTGAGACTGAGTGCAGATATGTATGTTAACTTTCATCAACTGTAAGATCAACAAATTAACTTAACTGTCTACTGTCCAACAATTTATCTCTTTCATATAGGTTTCTCTATGCGTGAAAAGGCTAGTGTACACAAATGAAAATGGAGAACTTGTCAAGGGAGTCTGCTCAAATTTCTTGTGTAAGAATGAATAGTTTTTGTTTTTCATAATGTGAGCTAGAAGAAATTTAGCTACATTTCTGAGGATATGTTATACTTACCACCTCTTACAATCACTTTATTATAATCAATAGCTCTTTCTTGATGCCATTTTGTAACTATCAATTTGATTTTGATCTAACAGTAACAAGATTAGTTGTAAGAGGTAATAAGAAAAAAGGTGATAATAATAATCTCTCCCATATTTTTTATCCGAAACATATTTAATCAAGCAAAAAAAATGGCTTTCTTTTCCAATTGATATCTACCCTTTTTTACCAATTATTTATGGTCATCTTCATCCAGGTGACTTGAAGCCAGGAGCTGAAGTAACAATTACTGGACCTGTTGGGAAAGAAATGCTTATGCCAAAAGATCCTAATGCCACCGTCGTCATGGTATGTAATCATTCATTTTCATCTCAATAGAAAAGAAGTATCGTATGTGATGGTCATTAGACTCATCACTGTTGTTTTAATTTTCACCATTGATCATTGAAATTTTCTTCACAGTTGGCAACTGGAACTGGGATTGCCCCATTTCGCTCATTTTTATGGAAAATGTTCTTTGAGAAGTACGATGATTACAAGGTAAGTGTTTGAAAAAAAACTAAAATCCTATCTGGCATGAATCAGAACCTGGACAATATGCTGTAGAGTGCCTAGAAAAAACCGTACCATATAGCGAAATTGATGGTTAGACAATAACACTAGCATGCTACATTACTACATCTAAGGCAAGTAGGAGGAACGGTGATCACTAATAAGTAAGTGATTGATCTTAACATCAAAATCCTCAACCATGAGGCACTTTGTTTTATCTGGTATTGCTCAAGCAGCGCAAATTATCTTTTATGTAGTAAGCATAGACAAACTAAATTAACTTCTGCATAAGAATTTAAAAAAAAAATATCATTATCAGAATGTGTTTGTGAGTAACCAAATATGATTATTAACCTTGTTTTGACATATATGTAGTTCAATGGTTTGGCATGGCTCTTCTTGGGAGTCCCCACAAGCAGCTCACTGCTTTACAAAGAGGTGAGAAGAATCAGATTTTCCTCAATCCTCACTATTTTAAAACTTCAGCCATATAGTTTCTTTTATGGGAAAGCATATAGATCTTTCTGGGACTTATACAACTCCAACTATATGGGGCAGGAATTTGAAAAGATGAAGGAGAAAGCGCCTGAAAACTTCAGGCTTGACTTTGCTGTGAGCAGAGAGCAAACAAATGAGAAAGGAGAGAAGATGTACATCCAAACACGAATGGCTCAATATGCAGAAGAGCTGTGGGAGTTACTGAAGAAAGATAACACTTATGTGTATATGTGCGGACTGAAAGGGATGGAAAAGGGAATTGATGATATAATGGTGCCCTTGGCTGCCAAAGAGGGTAAGAAACATTTTCCTTTTTTCATACTTCGAGAGAAAACATTTTGTTTTGGGTACATTATTTGGAGAGAAATTTTTAGAGGGCGAGAGACGGAGAAGTGATAGAGTTGCTTCTTTGTGACTGACTAAAAAGTCACATGAGGATAGCCCTTACCCCTACCTTCGCTAGTCGGGTTTAACAAAGAGTTTTTTTTATTATTTATTTGGAGAGAAACTTTATTCATTATATATTGTATTTTGTTATATTTTCTAGGCATTGATTGGACTGAGTACAAGAGGCAATTGAAGAAAGCAGAGCAATGGAATGTGGAAGTCTATTAATTTCTGTTCACCTGCACAGATATCAAGTCCTACTTTGTGCAGCAACAGATCTATCACCCCTCCTGCATTATGTAGATATATGAGGAACCTGTAACTTTTCTATGATGATTTTTACACTGTTCACGAACAACTTCATTGAGACATCTTTACAAGAAGTAATACTTTTGAGGGATGATGCAATGTAGACGAATCCAACTTCATTGTACCAATTTCCAAATTTCATCTCTTGCTAAGATGTTGTTAACATATATTATACTTTCGTTAAGGATCAAAATTAAACTCTTTTAAGGCAAATTCTGCTTAAAGTCCAGTTTGGATGACTTTTGAAAAAAATGTTTTTTATGCTTTGTTTATTTTAGAAGTATTCTTTATAAAAGTTAAAATTATTTAAATTTTGGGTTTCGAAAAAAATATTTAATTTTTTATTTCTGTTTTTTTTTAAAGCTAAAGCTTTTAGCTTAAAAAAAATAGGTTCTTGACTCTTTTTTTTTACTTTAACTTTTTTTTGTTTACTTTTGCTATTTTTATTAAGCACACTTCGAAACGAATTTTAGTATATTTGACAAAATGAGACATGAGGTTTCATTTAAGCAATGTGCTCAAAGTATTTCCTTAGAATGAAGAATGTCAAACGAGAATACTTGAAGAAAAGTCAAATGAGACTTATATTTGACGAACTCTCGTTTGTTAAAAAGAAATAGGTGTCAGTTGACTCGTCACCCACACTACAGAATCTAGAGGTCGAAAAGGAATAGTGGAGAGTTTTTTTTTTTTTTTTTTATGTGTAGATATTGGGGCAGCGCTCCAAAGATAGTGAACGGTTAGGGTGTGCATGACAATCTTTTCGGAATCAATTTTTTTTTAATTTATGTTTTTGGGAACAGAAATAAATAGAAAACTCGTTTGGTAAAATCAATTTATTTTTTTGTTCCCGGATGAACCGGTTTAAATTTTGTGCTGGGAAAAGAGAAAAAAAAATCAGAAATTTTTTGTTTTTTTGTTCCTGGGCACAAAATGAGAAACACTTATCTCTCTCAATCACTCTTCATCTCTACCATCATCACCACCACCACCATCATCACCACCACCACCATCATCCCGACACGACCACCGCCATCATCGTCGTCGCCGCTGCCGTAACACTAGTGTCGTCGTCACCCTCACCACCACGATGCCACCACCGCCGTCACCACCACCACAACTACCACCTCCGCCGTCACCACCACTATCACCGTCATCATCACCACTACCGCTATCAACCACCACCACCATCATCGTAACCACTGTCGCCACCATCGCCATCGTCACCACTGCCACCACCACCATCGTCACCACTACCACCACCACGATGCCACCACTACCATCATCACCAGTGTCACCAACTACTACTACCATTGCCGCAGCCACTACCGTCACCACCACCGCTGCAGTTGCCGCCACCATCATCTCAGCCACTACCGTCACTACCACCATCGTCGCCACCATTACACCACCCTTGCCACTACCATCACCATGTTATCGCCACCACTGTCACCTACCACCACCGCCATCACCGCAGCCACTGCCACCACCACCATCATGATGCCATCACAACCACTACCACCATGTCACCGCTACCATTGACGCTGCCACTAACCACCATATCCCCACCATTGTTGCAGCCACTGCCGTCACCTCCACCACCACCATCCTCATCCACGTCACAACCACGTCGCTGCCACCATTACCACTGTCATTGCTGCAGGCACTGCCGTCACAATCACCACCACTACTATAATCACCACGTCACTGCCACCACTATTACTGTACTGTCGCCGCCACAACCACCATGCAACCCACCGCCGCCACCACCACCACAACCACACCATATGGGAAAGAAAATGATGATCCGAAATTTGTTTATATTTCATAGGAATTATTTTTTATTATTTTATTTATGTTATCAAACACAATTCTCATTCTCGGAATAAAAATAAGACATGTTATCAAACACATTATTTTTTTCAAAAACTGTTCCAAGGCACAGAAATAGAAAAGAATTATTTCTTTTCAGAAATAGTACTAAGAAATAGAATGGTTGTCATACGTACCCTTATTTGAGAATTGGAAGCATTCAAGAGTAATGTTATCACTTCAACCAATAATTGTTGATGGGTTTGCTATAATTCTATGCTTGATAATTTTAATTGTTCATTGGTTTGTTGCACAGGTTATCTATTGGTTTGATGACAGGATGAGAGTCTATATTGCAGGTGGGTTATGATGAGATATTCGGCTGATCATCATTGTGAGGATGTGGGTGACTCGCTTTTTTTTAATAGAAGACTTAACGCATAAGCCAATAATGACACGTGTGATGTGACAATTAGTTGGCCACATCATCTTGTTAATGACATTTACAATTGAGTCTATTTGACCGTCTTATTTAAAAAATAAAAATAAAATATTGAACTATAATTACGTGCGAAATAATTCTCAAAAGTGAATCTGGCAGGAAAAGTAACAGCACGAAGGTTGCCACTTGCCACATCGTACAATATTTATAGTTGATTCGAAATTTCACTTCTATTATTTTTATCTTTGTTCTAGATAAATATTAATTAATATTATTTAAGTTGGATATTTGAACGTGCATAGTGCACAGTCCATAATTAATGGAATATTAGAGTTATTCATTAAATATTATAATTCTGTCTACCAATAAAATATATATTATAATTCTCGTGATAAGATTTTGATATTTTGTCGGCCTTAATAAATATACCATGCTATTATTTTATTTTAAAAAAATTTAAAGGGTAAGAATTCAAGAGAAGTTTATATTTTTAAAAGATGAAAATTTTTGGTCAAAAGTATCAAATATTTAATTTTTTGAGTAATTAGGAAAATTTTCTATCATCAAATTATTATTACAGAAAATAAATTTGATATTTTAAAATGTGTAAAGATTGTGAGATATAACGTTAGACAATTGAAAAATATTTATGATATTGATTATTATTTAATTCAATTAATTTATTTTTAATTCATAAAATAATAATACGTTATTTGTTATTAAATAATAATATTAATTATAATTCTAATTATTATTTAAATGGAGTAAGAGAATATAATTGAAAGAGGAATTAAAATTTGAAACAGAAGGGCATGATTATATTACATGGACTCATAGTTATCAATATCATATGATATACAATACGATTCATACGAAATGAAACGATTCACAAACCCAATGATATGTATCGTGGGGTGTATCAAAAAGGAGTTTGTATCAAACAATACGACACTGTATTGTGCGATACGATACGATACGTGTATCATATATCCAAAAATTAAATCAAAATTTGTAAATTTTAATATAAAAAATAAAGATTGGATCTGCGATTTAAATTAAAAATAATCTAAAAAATTATTATTAATAAGGAAAAGAAAATAAAGAATGATAAGGGAAAAAGGGAAAAGGACCTCAAGATTGTTGAACAAGAAATGAGAGATGAGTCAAATGATTACCCTAATGAAGAGAATGATGAATTAATTATGTCACTGATAAATGCTGATAGTGATAATAGTGATAATATTAGGGGGTGTATTAGATTAAGATTTTAAAAGTTTTTTTGAGATAAAAATCTTATAGCTTGTAAAAGACTATTTAGAATTGGAGAGACTTTGAATTTTTTTTTAAAAGACATTATTCACAATCAAAATTTCATAAGATTAGATTTTAAAGGATTTTAATAGAATTTATAAGATTTGAAAGGGCAATATGGATTTATAAGATTTTAAAAACCATATGAATTTTTAACAAACATTCAAAACTACAAGAGTCAATAAAAAATAATAAAGAAATGCAATGATATTAATAAACAAAAGTTAAATCTAGTATAATTTTCTCAATCAATAAAACATAATATAACTTTTAATAAACTTTCAATATTACTAAGCAATAGTTCTTCACATATCTAAAGTTATACTAGTTCTTCATGCAATAGCATTTTTTCATTCCTGTTCTTGGGTTTGACCAAAAAGATGAAAATTATCTTTTTCATTTTGTACCAAAGCTATACATATATGATTATAAGACCCAATTTTTTTATTTATTAAAATAATTCTAAATTTGCATATAGAACCTAAAGTTCGTGATAAAATTTTGTTTGAAATTTTTTGCAATTGATCTTGGAAGCCTTAGGATTTTAGTTTAACGTTATGAAAATTTTCTAACCATATATCATATACATGTTTTAAGTGAGTATTTTAAGAAAATTTCGAATATGAATTTCTGGGTTTTATTACATGAAAGATTAGAAAATTTCTCAAATTATTTTCAATCAATACATTGAAACCTTTAATTGCTTTGGGGCTTTTGAAAAATATATTTTTGGTTATCTATTGACACAAAAATTGTTTGAAATCGTTTCCTAATATAAGAACCTGCACAGTTAATTTAGGAATTTAATTAATTAATTATGAGATTAATGAGATAATTCCATAATTGACCCTAATAATTATGATAAGGCTTAAATAATTATGGTAAGTGGTTAAGAATGTTGAAAGTCGCTTTTCTGACGAAAAGTGCAGATACCGGTTCTGCTCCTCGTGAAAACGCGTACCGATGAAGTGTTGCGAAAAATTAAAATAAAAATATGACAAATCTTAGAAAAATGGCTAGGTTCAGAATATGAAGTTTGAGATTAAAATGATAAGTGTAGCTATTAACGCTAATACTGCGCGATTAAACTTAAGCGCACCTATAAATACCAAGGGCACATGATCCTAGGTCAGAAAATCATAACTTGCGCGGGTTTTTTTTCTGAGCTTCTTAAGGCAGCCCCTTCCTCCATCTTCTCCTCTCGATTAAAGCTCCAAGAGAACACATTTCTACTTTGTTCCAAGACGGAAGAGGAGCATGTCGAGCACTTGAGGATTGTGTTGCAAGTGCTGAAGAAGAAAAAGCTTTATACTAAGCCTTCGAAGTGTGAGTTCTGGCTCAAGTCTGTGAAGTTCCTTGGGCATGTGATTTCTGCAGAGGGAGTTGCAGTTGACGCGAACAAAATTGAGGTCGTGCTAGATTGGGAGAGGCCCAAGACGGTTACTGAGGTGAGGAGTTTTCTGGGTTTGGCAGGTTACTACCGGAGGTTCATCAAGGGATTCTCCATGTTGGTTCTACCATTGACTCGCCTTACCCCGGAAGGAGACTCCGTTTGTGTGGACT